ACTTACCTGGCACAGGAGCGGGGCAAGTAGCACGGGCTATGGTGAGCCCGTAGTGGACTTACCTGGCACAGGAGCGGTGCAAGTAGCACGGACTATGGTGAGCCCGTAGTGGACTTACCTGGCACAGGAGCGGGGCAAGTAGCACGGACTATGGTGATCCCGCAGTGGACTTCGTGTTCTCTACAACTGTCACTCTGTAAAAAAAAGAATCTCCAATTATTGTGATGAGTTGGTGTTGAGTAGTGTTGGTGTGGCCCCCCCCCCCCCACGTGAGCCAGCCTCTCCAGTGATCAGGTCGTCGGGTCGTCGGGTCGCCAGGTCGTCAGGTCGTCGGGTCGTCGGGTCGCCAGGTCGCCAGGTCGTCGGGTCGTCGGGTCGCCAGGTCGTCAGGTCGTCGGGTCGTCGGGTCGCCAGGTCGTCAGGTCGTCGGGTCGCCAGGTCGTCAGGTCGCCAGGTCGTCAGGTCGTCGGGTCGTCGGGTCGCCAGGTCGTCAGGTCGTCGGGTCGTCGGGTCGCCAGGTCGTCAGGTCGCCAGGTCGTCAGGTCGTCGGGTCGCCAGGTCGTCAGGTCGTCGGGTCGTCGGGTCGTCAGGTCGTCGGGTCGTCGGGTCGCCAGGTCGTCAGGTCGTCAGGTCGTCGGGTCGTCGGGTCGCATGGTCGTCAGGTCGTCGGGTCGTCGGGTCGCCAGATCGTCGGGTCGCATGGTCGTCAGGTCATCGGGTCGTCGGGTCGCCAGGTCGTCAGGTCATCGGGTCGTCGGGTCGCCAGGTCGTCAGGTCGTCGGGTCGCATGGTCGTCAGGTCGTCGGGTCGTCAGGTCGCCAGGTCGTCAGGTCGTCGGGTCGTCAGGTCGTCGGGTCGTCGGGTCGTGAGGCAGCAGAGCTCAGCAATCAACGTCTCATCACCGGAGTGAAAATTCACGTCCACTTCAGCAATATTCTCCAAAGCTCTGATAATGGATTGCATACGGCTTCCCTACACCTGTTGGTGCCTACACACGACGATCAACTAACTAATGAGGATTGAGACTTAAACAGGTTGCAGAACTGTTCCGAGAAATGGCTGCTAGAATTCAACACCGGCAAGTGTAAGGTGATGGAAATGGGATCAGGAGCCATGAGACCGAAAGTCCAATATACGATGAAGGGAAACTACCTCCCTATAACGTCTAGAGATCAAGACCTGGGAGTGGACGTAACGCCAAACCTAACTCCAGAGGCTCATATAAACAGAATAACATCAGCGGCATACTCTACTCTGGCAAAAGTCAGAATATTCTTCAGAAACTTGAATAAGGAGGCTTTTAGATCACTGTATACCGCCTGAGTGAGGCCAGTCTTAGAGTATGCTGCACCTGCCTGGAGCCCAATCTTAAAAGTCTTAGACTATGCCGCACCTGCCTGGAGCCCCGTCTTAAAAGTCTTAGAGTATGCCGCACCTGCCTGGAGCCCCGTCTTAAAAGTCTTATAGTATGCCGCACCTGCCTGGAGCCCCGTCTTAAAAGTCTTATAGTTTGCCGCACCTGCCTGGAGCCCCGTCTTAAAAGTCTTATAGTATGCCGCACCTGCCTGGAGCCCCGTCTTAAAAGTCTTAGAGTATGCCGCACCTGCCTGGAGCCCCGTCTTAAAAGTCTTAGAGTATGCCGCACCTGCCTGGAGCCCCGTCTTAAAAGTCTTAGAGTATGCCGCACCTGCCTGGAGCCCCGTCTTAAAAGTCTTAGAGTATGCCGCACCTGCCTGGAGCCCCGTCTTAAAAGTCTTAGACTATGCCGCACCTGCCTGGAGCCCCGTCTTAAACAAACACACAAGGAAGTTGGAAAAGGTGCAGAAGTTTACAACGAGACTCGTCCCAGAGCTGCCAGGGATGAGGTACGAAGACAGACTGAAGGAACTAAACCTGACGACGTTAGGAGGAGGGAGAGCGGGGACATGACACAGACGTATAAAATTGGAAATAAAATAGAGATGTTACAAAGTTTACCTTTAGCATGAGGGTTGTGAGCAAATGGAATGACTCAAAGGAGCAGGTTGTAGAGGTAATCTTGAGATGATTTCGGGGCTTTAGTGTCCCCGCGGCCCGGTCTTCGACCAGGCCTCCACCCCCAGGAAGCAGCCCGTGACAGCTGACTAACACCCAGGTACCTATTTTACTGCTAGGTAACAGGGGCATAGGATGAAAGAAACTCTGCCCATTGTTTCTCGCCGGCGCCCAGGATCGAACCCGGGACCACAGGATCACAAGTCCAGTGTGCTGTCCGCTCGCCCGGCCGGCTCCCCTAACTCCATTCATAACTTTAAAACGAGACATCATAGGGAGATAGGTCAGGAGTCATTGCATTAGACAACCAAAGACTAGAAAATCGGAGTCCAAGAGCTACAGCTCTATTCTGCATGCATAAATAGGTTAATACACACACACACACACACACACACACACACACACACACACACACACACACACACACACACACACACACACACACACACACACACACACACACACACACACACAAAGGGGGCCTCGTAGCCAGGTGGATAGCGCGCAGGATTCGTAATTCTGTGGCGCGGGTTCGATTCCCGCACGAGGCAGAAACAAATGGGCAAAGTTTCTTTCACCCTGAATGCCCCTGTTACCTAGCAGTAAATAGGTACCTGGGAGTTAGTCAGCTGTCACGGGCTGCTTCCTGGGGTGTGTGTGTGTGTGTGTGGTGTGGAAAAAAAAAATAGTTAGTAAACAGTTGATTGACAGTTGAGAGGCGGGCCGAAAGAGCAAAGCTCAACACCCGCAAACACAACTAGGTGAATACAACTAGTAGCCACCTGCCACAGGTAACAGTAGCCACCTGCCACAGGTAACGGTAGCCACCTGTCACAGGTAACGGTAGCCACCTGTCACAGGTAACGGTAGCCACCTGCCACAGGTAACGGTAGCCACCTGCCACAGGTAACGGTAGCCACCTGCCACAGGTAACGATAGCCACCTGCCACAGGTAACGGTAGCCACCTGTCACAGGTAACGGTAGCCACCTGCCACAGGTAACGATAGCCACCTGCCACAGGTAACGGTAGCCACCTGTCACAGGTAACGGTAGCCACCTGCCACAGGTAACGGTAGCCACCTGTCACAGGTAACGGTAGCCACCTGCCACAGGTAACGGTAGCCGGTCGGCTGAGCGGACAGCACACTGGACTTGTGATCCTGTGGTCCTGGGTTCGATCCCAGGCGCCGGCGAGAAACAATGGGGCAAAGTTTCTTTCATCCTATTTCCCCTGTTACCTAGCAGTAAAATAGGTACCTGGGTGTTAGTCATCTGTCACGGGCTGCTTCCTGGGGGTGGAGGCCTGGTCGAAGACCGGGCCGCGGGGACACTAAAGCCCCGAAATCATCTCAAGATAACCTCAAGATAGCCACCTACCACAGGTAACGGTAGCCACCTGCCCCAGGTAACGGTAGCCACCTGCCCCAGGTAACGGTAGCCACCTGCCACAGGTAACGGTAGCCACCTGTCACAGGTAACGGTAGCCACCTGCCACAGGTAACGGTAGCCACCTGCCTCAGGTAACGGTATCCACGTGCCACAGGTAACGGTAGCCACCTGCCACAGGTAACGGTAGCCACCTGCCACAGGTAACGGTAGCCACCTGCCACAGGTAACGGTAGCCACCTGCCACAGGTAACGGTAGCCACCTGCCACAGGTAACGGTAGCCACCTGCCCCAGATAACGGTAGCCACCTGCCACAGGTAACGGTAACCACCTGCCACAGGTAACGGTAGCCACCTGCCACAGGTAACAGTAGCCCCCTGCCACAGGTAACAGTAGCCCCCTGCCACAGGTAACGGTAGCCACCTGCCACAGGTAACAGTAGCCCCCTGCCACAGGTAACGGTAGCCACCTGCCACAGGTAACGGTAGCCACCTGCCTCAGGTAACGGTAGCCACCTGCCTCAGGTAACGGTAACCACCTGCCCCAGATAACGGTAGCCACCTGCCACAGGTAACGGTAACCACCTGCCACAGGTAACGGTAGCCACCTGCCACAGGTAACGGTAACCACCTGCCACAGGTAACGGTAGCCACCTGCCACAGGTAACAGTAGCCCCCTGCCACAGGTAACGGTAGCCCCCTGCCACAGGTAACAGTAGCCCCCTGCCACAGGTAACGGTAGCCACCTGCCACAGGTAACGGTAGCCCCCTGCCACAGGTAACGGTAACCACCTGCCACAGGTAACGGTAACCAAACCTGATCCTGGCAACCACTGTGTCGCACAGTCTGGTCGACGTTTTGTGCTGCCCACAAACAAAGGTTTCAGATCTGAACAAATCATAATTATCTATATTCTAAACCTTTTATTATGTGTAGTGATTTTGCCATCTATAATTGCTAGTATGAGGTTCTTGCTGTCGATCTTCCAGCAGACGTTTTCAAGTGCTTGAAAAGCAGACCCCTGAATCTCAAAGTATTATTCCTCCGACTGTGTGTCTTTTTAATGTACTGGTAGCTAGTTGTAGCGCAACTAGTTCTGCTAGTGTGGAGGTCAGTCAGTTGACGATTGATTGATGAAGATTAAGCCACCACAAGATGTGGCATGGGCCTGAGTAGCCCCGTATAGGTGGTAGATGTTTGGAGTGAATGTGGTGTATGGTCGTGTAATGCCTTGAGGTGCCTCTGGCCTCTCTGCGAGCCAGAGGACCGAGTCGTCGGTGTAGACACAGTCCTCGCTCGATCCTAGATATATGATGGAGTTGGCAACTGAAGTAGCTAAAAACTCTACGGTAAAAACAAACTTTATTTCAGACCAGACTATGAAAAATGTAATTGGGAGGATGGAGGGAGGGCTAGATGTTAATAATTCTCAAAGTATGGCACTAGGGCCGACTTCGCTGAGCCTATCACACTCACCTCACCCCCTTGTTCCATGCGTGAAAGTTGTGTGAGACTAACCCCACACATCTGGCCTTCAGCCTCAGACTGACAGACAAACATTCTCTATTTCCAATATAGAAAAATAAATAATAAAGCAACTAATATGCAGAAGTGAATTAATAATATGTAGAACTCTATAACAAGCGGCCTGGATCCTCTCTGAGACTCGAAGAGGCGTCAGTTAACGATGTGATAGAGGCGTGAAGGATCCCGGTGACCCACGAACACAGTGGAAGCCAATTAAGGTGGCTGTGTAACAGAGCAACAGAGCATCAGGGCGGTGGCCAACATGACACAGGCGGTCATGAACTGTGTAACACAGCCAAGGACCGGGTCAACACCCTACGGGACACAGACAACCAGTCGAGAGACTGTGTAGCACAGCAGAGCTCCTGGCCTAGTGACCAACCCGACTCAAGCGGTCTTTATCTTTGCTATATAGCATAGCTGACGTCTGGAATAGATGCACGAGAGTGATGTACAGCTGCTCTACCCCCCCTTCTTCTGTGGCTACGTCACCTCCTCCCCAGCATGGATATATATGTATATATAAATATATTTATATATATTTATACATATGTATATTTACCTACACATTGAAGGTCAGTACCTCACACACAACACCATGTGTGTGTTCTCATGTAAATTAAAATTCCTTATATATGACCAATAGCTTTTAATTACAGATAAAATAAAGCAATTAATATAATATCGTTTTGCCTTTTGATAGACCATAGTTTACAATAAATAAATAAATATATATATATATATATATATATATATATATATATATATATATATATATATATATATTCCAGAAACGGAGGAGCTTCAAGAGATCCATAACATTTAGGCATTTGTCTTGTAACCTTTAAATACACAATAAAGGAAAAAAAAAAATATATATATATATATATATATATATATATATATATATATATATATATATATATATATGTCGTACCTAGTAGCCAGAACGCACTTCTAGGCCTACTATGCAAGGCCCGATTTGCCTAATAAGCCAAGTTTTCCTGAATTAATATATTTTCTCTAATTTTTTTCTTATGAAATGATAAAGCTACCCATTTCATTATGTATGAGGTCAATTTTTTTTATTGGAGATAAAATTAACGTAGATATATGACCGAACCTAACCAACCCTACCTAACCTAACCTAACCTATCTTTATAGGTTAGGTTAGGTTAGGTAGCCGAAAAAGTTAGGTTAGGTTAGGTTAGGTAGGTTAGGTAGTCGAAAAACAATTAATTCATGAAAACTTGGCTTATTAGGCAAATTGGGCCTTGCATAGTAGGCTGAGAAGTGCGTTCTGGCTACTAGGTACGACATATATATATATATATATATATATATATATATATATATATATATATATATATATATATATATATATATATATATATATATATATATATATATTATTAAATATGACCGAAAAAGTAAGATTAATAATTCTAACACGAATTTTCTCAATCTTTCGTACATTACGCTTCACTGTTGGAGGTAAATCAAAAATCACTTCTCCAAAATTCATTTTTATTTCTAGTCTGACGCGACACGGGCGCGTTTCGTAAAACTTATTACATTTTCAAAGACTTCACAAATACACAACTGATTAGAACTTGTGTTTCTCTGATTTTATATCTACATTTGAGTGAGGTGGGAAGGGTGATGTGGCATTAACACAAGACAGAACAATAGGGGATATTAATAGGGTATTAAAAGTATCAACACAAGACAGAACAGAAACAATGGGTATTGAATAGAAGTGTTTGTAGAAAGCCTATAGGTCCATATTTCTTGATGCTTCTATATTGGAGCGGAGTCTTGAGGTGGGTAGAATATAGTTGTGCAATAATTGGCTGTTGATTGCTGGTGTTGACTTCTTGATGTGTAGTGCCTCGCAAACGTCAAGCCGCCTGCTATCGCTGTATCTATCGATGATTTCTGTGTTGTTTACTAGGATTTCTCTGGCGATGGTTTGGTTATGGGAAGAGATTATATGTTCCTTAATGGAGCCCTGTTGCTTATGCATCGTTAAACGCCTAGAAAGAGATGTTGTTGTCTTGCCTATATACTGGGTTTTTTGGAGCTTACAGTCCCCAAGTGGGCATTTGAAGGCATAGACGACGTTAGTCTCTTTTAAAGCGTTCTGTTTTGTGTCTGGAGAGTTTCTCATGAGTAGGCTGGCCGTTTTTCTGGTTTTATAGTAAATCGTCAGTTGTATCCTCTGATTTTTGTCTGTAGGGATAACGTTTCTATTAACAATATCTTTCAGGACCCTTTCCTCCGTTTTATGAGCTGTGGAAAAGAAGTTCCTGTAAAATAGTCTAATAGGGGTATAGGTGTTGTGTTAGTTGTCTCTTCGGAGGTTGCATGGCTTTTCACTTTCCTTCTTATGATGTCTTCGATGAAACCATTGGAGAAGCCGTTATTGACTAGGACCTGCCTTACCCTACAGAGTTCTTCGTCGACTTGCTTCCATTCTGAGCTGTGGCTGAGAGCACGGTCGACGTATGCGTTAACAACACTCCTCTTGTACCTGTCAGGGCAGTCGCTGTTGGCATTTAGGCACATTCCTATGTTTGTTAACAAACAAACATAGGAATGTGCCTAAATGCCAACAGCGACTGCCCTGACAGGTACAAGAGGAGTGTTGTTAACGCATACGTCGACCGTGCTCTCAGCCACAGCTCAGAATGGAAGCAAGTCGACGAAGAACTCTGTAGGGTAAGGCAGGTCCTAGTCAATAACGGCTTCTCCAATGGTTTCATCGAAGACATCATAAGAAGGAAAGTGAAAAGCCATGCAACCTCCGAAGAGACAACTAACACAACACCTATACCCCCTATTAGACTATTTTACAGGAACTTCTTTTCCACAGCTCATAAAACGGAGGAAAGGGTCCTGAAAGATATTGTTAATAGAAACGTTATCCCTACAGACAAAAATCAGAGGATACAACTGACGATTTACTATAAAACCAGAAAAACGGCCAGCCTACTCATGAGAAACTTTCCAGACACAAAACAGAACGCTTTAAAAGAGACTAACGTCGTCTATGCCTTCAAATGCCCACTTGGGGACTGTAAGCTCCAAAAAAACCAGTATATAGGCAAGACAACAACATCTCTTTCTAGGCGTTTAACGATGCATAAGCAACAGGGCTCCATTAAGGAACATATAATCTCTTCCCATAACCAAACCATCGCCAGAGAAATCCTAGTAAACAACACAGAAATCATCGATAGATACAGCGATAGCAGGCGGCTTGACGTTTGCGAGGCACTACACATCAAGAAGTCAACACCAGCAATCAACAGCCAATTATTGCACAACTATATTCTACCCACCTCAAGACTCCGCTCCAATATAGAAGCATCAAGAAATATGGACCTATAGGCTTTCTACAAACACTTCTATTCAATACCCATTGTTTCTGTTCTGTCTTGTGTTGATACTTTTAATACCCTATTAATATCCCCTATTGTTCTGTCTTCTGTTAATGCCACATCACCCTTCCCACCTCACTAAAATGTAGATATAAAATCAGAGAAACGCAAGTTCTAATCAGTTGTGTATTTGTGAAGTCTTTGAAAATGTAATAAGTTTTACGAAACGCGCCCGTGTCGCGTCAGACTAGAAATAAAAATGAATTTTGGAGAAGAGATTTTTGATTTACCTCCAACAGTGAAGCGTAATGTACGAAAGATTGAGAAAATTCGTGTTAGAATTATTAATCTTACTTTTTCGGTCATATTTAATAATATATGTCTACAGGAAAGACTGCTACCAAAATATACTAATATATATATATATATATATATATATATATATATATATATATATATATATATATATATATATATATATATATATATATATATATATATATATATATATATATTTTCAATTAAAGTTGTGATCAATGATGGGAAGTGAAGCGGGGATTGCCAGAGAGGTTCACCAACAAGCCTCAGGCAGTAATTGTGACAATATTAACAGTCCCGCGTCCAGAAGTATTTGGGCCATGTATGATCAGTACTGAGATTAACGGTCTACCTGAGGGAGAGAGAGAGAGAGAGAGAGAGAGAGAGAGAGAGAGAGAGAGAGAGAGAGAGAGAGAGAGAGAGAGAGAGAGAGAGAGAGAGAGAGAGAGAGAGAGAGAGAGAGAGAGAGAGAGAGAGAGAGAGAGAGAGGAAGAGAGAGAGTAGTATCTATTCTACTCTCCCCCCTCCCCTCCCCTCGTAAGACCCGGGGGGGGGAGTACAGAAACCACTTGTCGCTGCCTTTTCACCTCATGCCTCTCTTCACCTTGCAGAAAATAGGTACCATGGATCCTAAATTCATAAGCGTCGTGAATTTCTCCTTTAAATTGGTGTGTCACAATGGTGCCAAATGTTTCAGAGGTTCAACAAATGTTACGGAGGTTCAACAAATGTTACGGAGGTTCAACAAATGTTACGGAGGTTCAACAAATGTTACGGAGGTTCAACAAATGTTACGGAGGTTCAACAAATGTTGCGGAGGTTCAACAAGTTGTTATTGAAAAGTTATTTGGTTTGGTTCACCATCGTCTCGATAGATGTCACTAGTGTCTATCTTTTGACCAATCAGAGAGGTCAGGTCATCGTTATGTAGAGAGACAGTCACAATAACGGGGTTGACAGTTACCCTACCCCATCCCTCAGGTCTGAAAATAAAAGAATTGACGACGTTTCAATCATTCAAGGACTCTTGTGAGACGACTTTTCGGTCCGTCCTGGACCCTTCTGTGACGACGTTTCGGTCCATCATGGACCCTTCTGTGACGACGTTTCGGTCCATCATGGACCCTTCTGTGACGACGTTTCTGTCCATCCTGGACCCTTCTGTGACGACGTTTCGGTCCATCCTGGACCCTTCTGTGACGACGTTTCGGTCCATCCTGGACCCTTCTGCGACGACGTTTTGGTCCATCCTGGACCCTTCTGTGGCGACGTTTCGGTCCATCCTGGACCCTTCTGTGACGACGTTTCGGTCCGTCCTGGACCCTTATGTGACGACGTTTCTGTCCGTCCTGGACCCTTATGTGACGACGTTTCTGTCCGTCCAGGACCCTTATGTGACGACGTTTCTGTCCGTCCAGGACCCTTATGTGACGACGTTTCTGTCCGTCCAGGACCCTTCTGTGACGACGTTTCGATGAGTCGTGGACGAATTCCACGTCGTGTATAATTCATCTTATCGTTTAGCGCCTTTAGCCTATCACACTGCCGGTTCAGCTGGAGAAATGACCAATTACAGCCATGCGTCCGGAGACCGGCGAGGTCACTGTATCAGCCAAGTGTCTGGACACGGGCGCCTTCGCTCACACTTAAGCCATATTCCTTGAACGGCCCTCACAATATATCAGTCTTTCATATATGGCATATATAGCGGTAAGCATTATCAACGCATCTATACGCTATTAACATCATGATGTCATTTGCTACACACTGTTTTTCTCATACAAATTTATTTCCAAATAAAATCAAATAAACATTCACGTGCTACGCTCACCATCAACATTTTATAGTAAACATCCATGTTTATATATATTTTT